AGTCAGTTCTGTCAACTTCTATATATAAATATATATATATATATATATATATATATATATATATATATATATATGGTTATTTGTATATGTGTGTATGTATCAAGAGCTCCTGTAAAACCACAACAAATTCCTTGTTTGCGCACACTTAAGTGGTGAATAAATCTGATTCTGATTCTAATATAACTAGTATACATTTCACTTTTTGTGAGAAGAAAGCACCCCTACAACAACTTCTGAAAGTGAACGGTAGTGTTTTACTCTAGCATTACATAAAAATGTCATTTTAACATTAGTGTAATCATTTTGACATGCGTTTAGGAACTGAATAATAAAAAGGAAAAATACAACACTGCTTAGTATTTACTCTATGAATTCAATATACACTGATTCTTATTTAAGCTCTAAAAGTTATTTAGGTAAGAGCAGTGAGTGATTTTCTCTTTGTCTTTTGTTCATGACCCCAAATATTGCAAGCTGTAGCGATATGCATATTGCGATATGTACATTTGCGATAATTTCGATATATTGCACAGCTCTAATTAAAAGGTATTTTTAATTTGCTTAAAAACTGGTTCAGAAAATGTGATGAAAAATTCACTTTTCATTGGTGGAGTAAAATATACATTTTCAAAAAGGAAGAAAATCTGTTTATTAAATTACCTGATTGGAACGGCTAAACTGGCAGTGTGGAAAACACAGAAAAATAAAGGTTTACAATTAGCTAATATAGATCCTGAAGAAATGTTGAAGTGGTTAAGAGCAGGGAGGCTAAAGGTTGAATTTGCATATTATAGGTTAACAAATCATTTATGGGGTTTTTGTGAAGTATGGTGTGTTAATGAAGTGTTATGTATGTTACATGATGATCAGCTTGTTTTTAATTTCTGAAAGTTTTGAAAACTGGTTTTATAAGTAGCCTATTAAAAGGTAATTAGATTGATGGTTATATTGTTTAGAATTGTGAAGTGAACATGTACAAATAAAGGTACTGTTAAACCTCTCTCTCTCTCTCTCTCTCTCTGAAAAATAAGGCAAAATCTAGAATACGAATTTGTGTACTCAGTGAAACCCAGAACTGTATATTCACATCCCTGTTGTTTTGTTCTTTTTTCAGAGTACCTAACGGTGGGCCTCTCGTCTGTGAAGAGGAAAAAGGGCAGTTATCTCCAGGACACTCTTCAGTCAATCTTCTCTGCCTCCTCAGAGGAAGAGCTGGATCAAATGGTCATCGTCGTCCTTCTTTCAGACTTTGATGTGAGCTGGATCCAGCAGACATTAGAGAAGATTACAGATGAATTCCACATGCGGCTGTCCAAGGGTCAACTTCTGGTCATCCATGCCAATGAAGACAACTATCCTCCCCTCACAGGACTGAAGAGGAACTTCAACGATGCTCCTGACCGCGTGTCCTTCCGTTCGAAGCAAAATGTGGACTACTCCTATTTGCTCCATTTTAGCAGTAATCTCTCCCAATACTATATCATGCTGGAGGATGACGTGAGCTGTTCGAAGAACTTTCTCACCAGCATGCGTGAGCACGTCGGTTCTGTGGGCAACTCGAAGTGGGTCACATTAGAATTCTCCAAGTTGGGCTACATCGGAAAACTCTATCAATCCAGAGATCTGCCCATTCTAGCCCGATTCCTTTATAATTTCTACCAAGAGATGCCCTGCGACTTTTTGCTATTGCATTTTCACAGATTGTTGATGCAGGAAAAAGTAATTCGTTTCCGCCCATCTCTGTTTCAGCACATGGGCACTTACTCGTCATTTAGGGGGACATTCAATCGCCTAAAGGATGAAGACTTTGTTGAAGAAGTTGCCGATAACCCTCCAGCAGACATTAGCACGAATATTGAAACCTATCAGACCAATACTGTCGACAAAGCTTACAGCCAAGGCTTAGAGTATTTCTGGGGTGTATCCCCTATTGGCACAGAAAACTACATTTTAGTGGTCTTTCATGAACCTGTTCTTATCTCCCGTGCCCAAATAGTAACAGGATTGGATGGGAAAGATGAGCTGGTCTATGCTGATGTGGAACTTGGAAAAACGCTGGTGAAAAAGGAGTCGGAGGTGGAGTGCTCCGGATTTGACAAGCTGGGTTCTCTTCAGCAAGGCCAGTTTAATGAAGCAGCTGTCCAGAAACTTGTTCCAGCAACCATGGCATGTTTACGAATCCGAGTCACTGCAGCCCAAACGACCTGGGTTGTCGTACGCAAGATCCAGGTCTGGACTGTTAAAGCTGACCAAACCACATGACATATTTCTGCTGTGCATTTATTATCATGACTTATAAAGGCTTGAATCTTTCAAATAGACACATGCTTGGTAATCTCTATGTGAGGGAATGATGTCATTACACTGCATAAAATAATTTTATAAATATTCTTAAAACGATATATTTACTTAGGCATACTATATTTTCTCTAGGAAATATATATATCACATTTCATACAAATAGGGTTAGTGTAGTAAAGGTTAAAAAATCAGGCACACAGAAGGTTTCAGATGTTAATATTTTGAATTAATTTGATTTTTATATTTTCTGGTAAAGGTTTAGTAATTTTGTTGGGTGTTTTTGTCAGTTTTATTATTTCATTAAATGTGTCTGTATAATTTTTTATCACTATTTAGTTTGATATTTTATTTTGGTGTATGTTTATTTTGTTTCAATCAATTATTATTATTATTGGGGGTTTAAGGTTTAGTTAATTATAGTAACCCTAAATTGAACTCCTAAAAATATGAGGCTTCAAAGTTTTTTTTTTAAATTTTATTATAAAAGACATGGCCTGGATGTTGTGTAGTTGAGTGGTAAAAGAGGATGCCAAGATTCAAAGAGCATTTTACAGTCAAAATATTTATTTGATTTATATTAAAGGCAGGGTATGTGATTTTTCAAAAACACTTTAGAAAACTGATGCGGGCCGAATAGCAAAACAAACTTGTAGCCAATCAGCAATAAGGGGCGTGTCTACTCGTGATGTGGAGGAGAGAGCTTTCAGTGCACAGGACAGACATTAGCCGAGCCGAGCGACAGAAAGATAGAGATGGCGGATAAAAAACAAAAGAGGAAAACGTCTGCGGAACGATAAGGCAAGAAGTAGGACCCGTGTAAATATCGGATCAGCTTTCCAGCGCTGGAGAGAACTCAGCGAGCGGAGGCCTGCGATCGGACGCCGAGGTTGCTTTGTTTCTTCTCAATAGGCAAGTAACACCGTGTCTACAACAGCTAAAGTCTGCCTACACTGGACGCGATCAAACGACCGTTGAAAACCATTTTAAATTTGTGTCAGCACGTCATAAATAGAACCCGGCAGCAGTTTTCTGTCGGGATTTGTTGCGCCGCACCGCTCACGTCCGTAGACACGGTGTAACATTGGTTTTGCTTTGTTTCACAGAACTAATCGTTGCCTGGGTTGCGTATGTATATGTGGGGCGGAGCTATCAAAATAGGGGCGAGACCCTTTTGGGGTAGGGGCGTGTTTGTTTTGGTGATTTCAAGTATCAACATTGGCTACCAGAAATCACTTACCCCACCTTTAAGTCTTGTAAAAAGAGGGGATGGTTTGTAAATTCCGTCCCCTAGGGGTGATGACTTTGAAAGACAATTCCCTAGTTCCATCACTCCAAGCACCAATGAGGGGAAAAGTGCTGATACTAGTTTACATTCAACACACACACACACACACACACGTTGGGTTTCCATGTTTTAAAGGGACATTCCATGGGTGTAATGGTTTTTATACTGTACAAACTGTATTTTCTATCCCCTTACCCTGACCCTACTCCTAAACCTACCCCTCACATTAAGCTTTCTACTATTTTAGATTTTCAAAAAACTTCATTCTGTATGATTTTAAAGCTGTTTTCCTCATGGGGACCCATGAGGACTGAAAAGTTTCCCCACAAGGAGAAGGATTTTGGACATTGCCATTTTTGTGGGGACATTTTGTCCATGCACATAACATAGGGTCTACCTGCACCACACACACACACACATTTAAATTAACTTAATTTAAGTTTGCTCAGTATTTGTGGAAAAGGATAGATTTTTATACCAAAGAGTCAAGTTGTATTGCATTTACTGTGTTTCTGACAATCACATCAGAATGTGTGCTTTACTGAATCTCACATGCGTGGTATTAATGCTTGTTGAGCACTATTTGTTCTCTCTCCCTCAGGGACGGACCGTGAGAAAGAGCATCTGTATACTATAGTTCAGAGATAATTGAACAGCTCAGCATCACAAACTGATATCGTCACTCTTTGAATGTGAGTGTAATCTCTGTCAGTTAATCTTTTATTATTATTAAATTGTAATACTTTTCCATAATTTTGTATACACAAATTTTGTCAATTACAGCCAATTAAACTAGTTTTATGTTTCTCATGCACTCGATCATCTTTTTTTCTCACATAGATACTTTCAACTAAAATCCATATTTCATGTCTGTGCTTATTGTTAAGTGGCAGTGTAATAAGCAGGCTCATTTGCAGTCTGATGGTCATTATTGCAAAATAAACCACTTCAGGATGGTTCTCTGCATTGCATTATGGGTCTAATTTGAGATAATGACATGCTAATTGTACTGGGTTTTCTTTATTTAAATGTATATTACTGTATGTGCACTACTGTATATATCTGAAACAACTAGTGAAAATGCTTCTATTTTTCATTTGTATAACTTAATATAAGAAAATTTAAGACCAGCACAACAATTTGAATGAAAAGTGAAAATATTGCTGAATCTGATATATATGTGTATGTATGTGTGTGTGTGACCCTGGACCACAAAACCAGTCATAAGGGTCAATTTTGGGAAGCTGAATAAATAAGCTTTACATTGATGTATGGCTTGTTAGGATATGACAATATTTGGCTGAGATACAACTATTTGAAAATCTGGAATCTGAGGGTGCAAAAAAATCTAAATATTGAGAAAATCACCTTTAAAGTTGTCCAAATGAAGTTCTTAGCAATGCATATTACTAATAAACTTCAAACCTTTAAAAATAAGCAGGTTTACATTTTTAACCCATCATTTTGATTGGATTTAAGTTATATTTAAGATTAACTTTAATCCTGTTGCACCATAACTTTAAACTCAATTATTTAAATCTCAATTATGGATTAACTTTAAATTTAACCCCTTTTAATGCATACCTCGGAAGACCAGAGGTATGTAAATGTGTAAGTATTTTTTCCTGCGGAACTATATTTACATATCTAATGACTCGATATGTGCAATGCATCTTTTTCCCTCAAGGTGGGACTGTTTGATACACAATGACGTGACATTTCACTCATAATTACCGCAGGCATAACAAACAGAAGAAGTGAGGAATATTTAACAGCAGCGGTCACGGTGATGATGAGGCGAGCACCAATGAAGTGATCGTGGCTGCGCATCTCGTTTCTCATGCCCGCTCCGCGTCCCTGCTGGGCGGCGATCAAACGGACAGGGCAGCGCTTTTCACGAGTGGAGATCGCTACTAGACGAATCATGTAATTTGTTATTATTATTTTTTATCTCTGTTCTTTTGTCGTAAGTTATGCTATTACTCTAGTAATTTATACTAGCCTATCCAGCGCTCCCCGAGTCACAGGGCTCAAGTCCAAGTCAAGTCTCGAGTCCTTGCTGTCAAAGTCTAAGTCGAGTCTCATGTCTTCTTTAATTATGTCGAGTCGCAAGTCATCAAATTTGGGACTCGAGTCCGAGTCGTGTGACTCGAGTCCACACCCCTGCCAAGATTACTCCAAGAGCGCAACGACGACTCATCCAGGAGGTCATAATAAGAACCCAGAACAACATCTAAAGAACCGCAGGCTTCACTTGCCTCAATTAAGGCCAGTGTTCATGATTCAACAATAAGAAAGAGACTGGGCAAAAACGGCATCCATGGGAGAGTTCCAAGGCAAAAGTCACTGCTGACCAAAATTAACACACAGACTCCTCTCACATTTGCAAAAAAATATCTTGATTATCCCCAAGACTTTTGGGAAAATATTCTGTGGACTGATGCGACAAAAGTTGAACTTTTTGGAAGGTGTGTGTCCCATTACATCTGGCGTAAAACCAACACAGCATTTCATAAAAAGAACATCATAGCAACCGTCAAACATGGTGGTGGTAGTGTGATGATCTGAGCTTCAGGACCTGGATGACTTTCCATAAGATGGAAACATGAATTCTGCACTCTATCAGAAAATCCTAAAGGAGAATATCTGGCCGTCAGTTTGTGACCTCAAGCTCAAGCGCACTTGGGTTATGCAGCAGGACAATGATCCCAAACACACCAGCAAGTCCACCTCTGAATGGCTCAAGAAAAACAAAATTAAGGTTTTGAAGTGGCCAAATCAAAGTCCGGACTTAAATACCATTGAGATGCTGTGGCATGACCTTAAACAGTCCATTCATGCTTGAAAACCCTCCAGTGTGGCTGAATTAAAACAATTCAGCAAAGAAGAGTGGGCCTCATTGCCAGTTATTGCA